AGAGAGAGAGAGAGAGAGAGAGAGAGAGAGAGAGAGAGAGAGAGAGAGAGAGAGAGACCTGATTATTTATGGATTTATTTCGTAGCTACAATTTATGTAATTCATTACATAATTCACCTTCCAGTACCTCTTTTCGATTAAAGCAGAGTTTTATAAATATTTTTCACGTGAAATTATCACCTTTCCAAGTACACTATTGGTCGTAGGACAACCTACGTGTGATAAAAATAAACTATAAAATTTTATTATTTTTATCGCTGTTTTTATATATACAAGACATTAGCTAGTATCAGTATACTTTTCTTCGGCTTACATAGCCAAGAGAAGGGGACTTGATTTGCAATTATAGTCCGTAACCATACACTGTTTTCTAAATACTATATTAGTATATTTCCGAGACATTGGCTAGTAATGTTCGTATTTTATATATTACATCAGAATTTTTGCGTCTCGATGTTAATTTTTTCTGAAAATTGCACATGGATATTTTAATGTTTCAGTACTAAAATTTTACTTGATTTTTACATCTAAAAAAAAATAGGACGTCTTTTAGACATATTTTAAGACATCTTTTAGTAGATTGTGCTGTCAGGGAATAATCAATTACTTTGTGATTTTAATCGATCTTTTTTCCATTTTTAGTAATATTATACGGATTTTTCATAATTTTTATGTATTATATATTTATATATATACAATAGAATAATTCCTATTTTACGTTTCTAAATCTTTTTTTTTTATAAGTTGCTTTTGTAAATTATATTGTGCGCTTATGCATTAACAGATAAGAGCAGAAGCGTAAGAGAGAAAAATGACATATGCAATTTTGCGCACATTAACATACTTACTGAGAAACGTTGCATTATCGCGGAACCTTGAAAGAAGGGGGTCGCTGAAAAACGTGTCGCTAACGCAAATACACATTGAAAAACGCGTTACTCAGTGTTCACTTCTCTATTAGACAATGAACTAACTCTCGACTCAGTGACACGCGTACGCATTTCAGTACGTTTACGCACAATGCTGGTGTTACATAAGAACATTTGCAAGTGTAGGTAAATCATTGGCGCGAGGCAGGGAATGTCGTCGCGGAATTGATAGCATTAATCGGGAAATTCCTGAAGAGAGAGAGCAAGTTTCTCACAATCGACTTTGTTCTGTCGCATTTGACAGTGTTGAATGACAATGACGACGATGATACGTTTTGCTGGCACGATTTTCACCTGCTGCCTCATTATGAGTGCAGGTAAGTAACGGTTTATTGACGATACAAGAGACTAAAGTATCCTGAAAGTTACAATTACTTAAATTTGCTATGTCAGATTTAATATTGCTCTGATTAAGCCCGAGATTTTCCTTAGTTTTTAGAGGAACGATATTATAAGCGCAAATTATAATACAAATACTGAAATAATTATCACAAACTCCCGTCCGCTAGGTTGGTCCTACGATTGTCAGGATCAAAATACAGGGTGGGAGAAAGTTACAGGAGCCAAGCCAGCAAACGCTTTTGAAAGTCTATTATATAGAAACGGTGCCAAAGGAAACAACGGTATCGTCGCGCCCTGTTTCGACAGGTAATTATCAATTACTAATCGATCATTTGACGAGTTTCCAACGTTACGTAATGCACAGGCGTATTTTGTGGTCATCGATCACTAGAAACGCCATTTATGGAAAGGAGGTCATTGTATTTGCATTCATCCAAGACAGAGAGATAAAGGAAGATGTGAAAATTCATTGATTGTGAAAACAATCTGTTTCTTATAGGTGTAAAACTCAGAATTGCACAGCGTTTGTGATCGACTTTTCGAGAAACATTTGTTATAGTGTGCAAGTGAAAAGCGAGGAACTAGTTCCCGAATCAAATGCTACTTTCTTCCACAAGATCTGTATTCGAGGTAAGAGTATTCGCGCATAAAAGTAATGTTCACTGTGTAGTGTGTGTTCATTGAAGAATATTATTTAGTAAAAATTGAAGTTTCTTAAGGTGTCGCGTACATATTGAAGCGAGTCAGGTTTAATGCCTGATAAAGTAATTCAAAAAGTTCTCATTTTCCGAAATATATTCCAAATATATCGCGCGGCTTTCGCACGAAAATAAATTAAATAATTAAGGAAATATATAAAAGAATAAATTTTTGAAAGTTCTTTGCTTCACCTTTGAGTCCCTCCCAGTTGCAAACGGCAGAGATTGTGGCAAGTGGAGAGAACTTTAGGAGCTATTTTGAAAGATGGACACGCCAACATGTATCACGAATCATTCTTACGGAGAAGCCAATGTTACGAGAAGTGTCTGCAAGCGGGTATGTGCCCCCAAGTAGAAGTTCAGTGTGTCATAGGATTAATAGGATTTATAGGATTAATTTTTACATCGTAATTACACGGAAAAAAAATCCGTTAGTAGATCGAGAGAAATTATCCGACAAAAAATTAACAAACGGATATTACTGATGAAAATACCGATTTGAATTTTTATATATTTTTATATATTTTATATATTTTTATATCCGACCAGGATATTCGATTAAATTTAATCGAATACTTCCGATTATAATAATATTTTATCAGATAAACCGATCAAAAAATTATGAACCGATATCTCATCGGATGTTTCCTGATTGGATATAAAATTCATCGGTATTTCGATCGGAAATATCCGTTTGTTAATTTCTTATCGAATAGTTTCTCTCAGTGTGCAAGTAAATTTTCTGTTACTTGGGGACCAGATAAAAAACTCGGTTACAGGAACAGGAAAATTCCTGCAGAATGTTTCTGTTCAGCCAATTCCTCTCAGTTACCTCAATCGAGTTTTAATGCAGATGAATGTGCATATTTATATTTTAAGTCACATTAACAGAAATATTATTTCTTGTCTCAGCGAGTTTTTCGTTTGGTTCCCATTCAGTTACCCGAAATGAAATTTTTTTCCATGTAGTTTTTTATAAACAACTCGATAAAAACTTCCAAACGCGACAAACGATCAAATGTACAACGACTCGAGTTTTCTCAGGCGACGAGTGTGGGTCCGCGCAATTCCGTACGAGTCAGCCTTTGTCGATCGACGATACCATCGGCACGTGTTCGTTATCGAGGCTCGAGAGAGGTACTAGACCGCAAGCCTACCGATCGTCGATGTATCGGGATGAATATCTGCAATATCAGTGCCATAACATATGTAAGTTGCTAAGCCGCTTACTTGATACAGCTGAGACACAGACACGAGAGAGGCTAGAAGAGCAGCGCATGGGCACGCCCTTAGGACAGCTGAACACACTTTGAAACTCATTGATCTTTTCCGTGCCGCATGCTTACAGAGAGATTGGATAAGTCGTAAATGTATTATTTCGCAAGGGAATGGTATGGAATGTAGGCTTAACTGAAAGTGTTTCACGATGTGCAAATCTCACTTGAATTGAGTCGAGTTTCGTATGTTCTGCAGCGAAGAGGAGCTATTGTTCCTACGCGGAATTTCGGAACGTATCATTGCCATATTCGGACGTAGCGCTACCGGGACTCGACGCCAAACGGGTATCTCTTATATTTCCTAGCGGCATCGGCTCGCTCGTGAGCGAGCCGATCATTCATCCGCGATCTATTTTAGTGCGAGGAGAGATGCGATCTCGGTGAGGACGGTTTCATCTGCAGGGCTTACACCGTTGATTATAACGAGGAAAAAGTGCTCTGTCTGCTACACTCCGACGACACAATCGCTCTCGGAGTCAGTTCACTGATTCCCATGCCTAACGTCGTCTACAAGGAACGAGAAACCTGCCTGGATCGTATGTGCTTGCGAGAGATTTTACGTTAACGCGAAAACGTTCGATCGAGATTAGATGATGTTTGCGATGTGTTGCAGTGAAAGTGCAATGCGGCGAATTGGTCATGACTGTGACGCTGACTACTACTGAACCCTTCGAGGGACGGATGTATGTGAGTGGACATGCGGAGACCTGCGGTGTTCATGGTGTCGGGAAAAACGTGACCGTACTGAAACTACCACTGCCGAAGAAGGAACTCGTTGGCAAGTCCAACATCATGTGCGGTCTCACACCCGCTTTCTCAATCGATAATCAAAACAGGTACATCAGCGCTGAATAAAATTAAATAAAAGGCTACAAGCGGCACAAAATAGTTCCTCATAGCTCATAAACAATCGACTTTACGAAACTTCTCATTCGCAGAACGCATACGCTGGTATGGGCCATCATTGTGATACAGTACAATCCGATCATTCAACGATTAGGAGATCAGTCAGTGAAAGTTGGGTGTTCGTTAGACGATCGCGATCTGCCAGAACCGAGAAACGTATCCGTTCATTCGAGTTTTACTTTCTTGGATCCCAAGTGAGTCTGTAAAATGATCCCGTCTGCTGTCACGATTATTTTTGATAAAACAACCGAGGCACCTTTATTGTAAATTATCTTACAGTTTCATTTTGCGCCTCGCGAGAGGCTCTGACATTATGGCGAATATATTTTCCCGATATTCCGGCTCTGATTGCTGTTTCTAGCGCAGGCGTACCGCCGGTTGTGTCAACCGTGGTGAACGCGTCGTCGGAAGTGCCGCTGGTAACAATGAGGATCCTTAACGAAGAAAATATGGACGCGATCGTCACCCAGTTGGGGCAGAAACTAACGCTCAGAATACAGATACAACCTGCAGACGGTGGGTTACATGGTCATTGAAGATTTAACACTTTTGCATCTCTGGCTTTCTCAGAATAGATATGTTTCATATTGTGAGACGATTGTAGAAGTTTTCAGGAACGCTGATTCCAAATTTATCATCAATATTTAAATTAAAAATAGTATATATTCAAAATATATCTCATGAAAAATTTGAATATTGATATATTTAAGATATAAATTTGGATTTTTCTGGTCACTAATTATAAATAAAATGTAAAAAAATTAGAATTTTATTTTTTAATAGTAGACTTCAGATAGTGATTACAAGGAATTTCTGAACACATTTTCAACTACAAATTAAAATTACGTCTGCCTAGCTAGCTCCCTACCTAATCTGAAATAAAAAATAAAATTATAATGCTATTTATGTATTTCCCAAAAATAACACAAAAGTTTTGCGCTTCATCCATTAGCCAGAAAATAAAATTTTTTGGGTGGGCCAAGTGGACGGCAAGTCTGTCTCTCCTATTCCCATCGACAAATAACAAGTTATTTAACAAAATAAATATATAGAAATTATGTGCTCTTCTATTCAGCTAATTTCGATTTTTGCGCTGCAACTTTTAAAGGATTTCTCTCTTGATGCAAAAAATAGAATTTATGTCTCGAAATATATACGAAAAAGTTAAACGTGAGAAGTGTGGTTTTAGCGTCGGATATATCGTGTATTTGTGATTCGTATTTATTGGTTAAAAATTGACTAAAAAAGGAAAGAAAACTGAAAAAATAAAACTCAAAATTACTTTTTTGATACCAAGCTTTATGTTTCTTTTTTCATCTAATGAATTGACTGACCAAAAATTCTCTAGTGAATTGACTGATCAAAAATAGATTTATGATTAGCAAATATGATACATATAAAACATCAAAAGAGGATATCGTATCATGCAAGATTATAAAAAATGTATGTGTAAACGAAATGTACATAAGAAACATACTTTAAATTCTTGAGAGATACGAAATCATTTTTCGCTTTAGCAGGTCCTTACGATATCATGGCCGGACATCTTGTCGCTAGTAGCGCGTCTGGGGATTCTTCATATCTTCTTCTTGATCAGGCAGGATGCCCGACAGATCCGGCGACCTTCCCCGCGCTGTCGAAAGATCCAACGGACAATCGTTCTTTAATTGCACCATTCACTGCCTTTAAATTTCCCGACAGTCAAATAGTCCGGTTTAACGTTATTGTTAAGTTCTGTTTCGAGGAGTGTCAGCCAGTAAGTAGGCGGTTCTTGCGTTTTTCCTGTTGAGATTTTTTTAATGCAACTTACGCCAATATACGCTATAATTGCTAAACTTATTAATTAATTATAATCTTGATTTACGAATCACTGTATGCGCATTGCAATTAACGTTAAAAAGGAACAGTGAAATAATAAACTAATGATTATTTAAAGACAACATGCAGAGGAGGACAGATCTCGTATGGCAGGAGACGACGATCGATCGAGCAAACGACGGTCGCCAACGAGACAACGGAAATTTTCAGGAATCTCACGCCCACGGAAATGCCGTTACAACTGTCTATCGTTGTTCAAAGTCCGGTGATAACGGCGGACCATTTGATGTCCAGGGACAATTCGGCTCCTGACACGGTGCTACTCGCCGGCGAAAGTGAGTCGCATTTTCCAGATACTTCGAAAGCAGAAGTGCGAAATACTAACGGCAATTGTTCCCTCAGGATCCATAGACGGCCTCTTTTGCGTGGATGCAAGTCTGGCTTTGGGTCTTTTGATTTTCTGGCTGATCATTCAAATTGTACTTACCGTTGGTTGCCTCCTGACAGTTGGCCGATACAGACGAATGGCTGTGGAGGCAGAGGAGGACCGAGCCGAGATATTGGCGAGGCATCTTTACGGGATTCACGGAGGAAACTTTGAGATTGCACGACGAGTTAGATGGGCCGATCGAAACAGCTCCTCGATCGGATGATCGCTCATCGTTCTCACAAACGATTGATTTCACAAACGAGAACGGATCTGCGTCTCATGATCAAAGTATTATAGCTCCGAGAAGGGAGACTCTTCGCTTTCTTTTTTATGTGCTTAAGATGCATATTTAAACTTGGCAATAAAGTATTATGCTTTTTCTAGTACGTGAACATTTTTAAGGATATAACTTTTATTTCACATCTCAACAATTCTCCCGCAAACTGACATAAAACAGTTTAGCGGTTACTCTTATCACTAGCGAGAATTCTCTTTCCACATTAGGTGTTTTGTACATTTCATTTATGAAAGGACTATGAGCAAACAGCAGTACAGTTCGACACCCTCGTGTCACCGTGTTTTGCGCATTTTGCAGGATTCTTAACAAGAGAATATCACAAGCTATTATCATATTCGCGTCGCATGAGGCAACACGATAATAATGAAAACCATTGTAAAAAAAAGGATATGTATATATCGACGTATAAAGGCTCGTCTACTACAATACGCGGAGTAAGCTTGGCGTAAATTGGAGCAAGAAACAAAAGTAATTCATTTCGTTTACATATCCTTCTGTACTCCAGAATAATTCTCTTAAGTAAGAGAAATACTCGCGGTGTAAGGGAGAGGGCTAGGGAAATAAATAATTTTTACTCTAACTTTTTTACGCCAAGCTTACTTCGCGTGTATTGCAGACGTGCCTTAATACACGCATTAATGGCTTAATAAGAATATCTTATACAGTAGCAATCACTGCAAATTAACGATGAGAATCACATCCAGAAGGGAGATTAGTCTTAACGTTAACGTCTAACATTATATACAAGATGTACATGACAGCAAACACACCGATCGTAATACTGAAGAAGAAATCATTCGTCGAGAGTAGTGAAAAGTCAGGTCGATTCTTCGCGTCATAGTGGGGATAAATGAAAATTTATTGTTCAAAATCGCTACAGAGCATAATTCTTAACCGGTCGAGACAAATCTTTCTTGAAATTAATCATTAACAAATTTTGAAGAGAACTGTGAAGCTCGATTTTTAAACATATATTGATAGCTGTCAGCCTAATTCTTACATGAGATTTGTATTCAGCAATCTCCAAAATCTCTAATGTGTCCTTTCGCTAAAAGACATGCAATTTTTTTTAAAGTTGACAGCGAAATTGACAAGTGCCTATAGTCAAGTTTTAATTCTAACATCAGATTTGTATTCAGCGACCTCAACGTATAAAGTAGCTTAGTGCAAAAGCAGTTTTAAAAATAATATTCTTCTAATTCAACTTCTAGTTAACAATAATTTTCAGATTGTTATTAATATTGCAAATTTCAGGAGATCTTTTTTAACAATCGAGTTAGTTTTACAGTTTTCTTCGAAATTTATTAACGATTAATTTTAAAAAAATATTCGTTTCGATTTCTCGGTTAAGTTTCTTGGCCATTCACATCGTCCATCTCTTTTTTTAATGACGTCAGGAAGAAGGAAACGCATGTTAAGATTTTTTGCAAAATATATATGTCGAGATAACAAAAGATATATTCACAAAATGACACTTGCAGTCGATTAAACACATCTCTAAAATATTCCGGGCACTTTCCTTTTGCTCTAACAATTAATGAATAACCATGAAATTAACGTGAATTGCAATCTTCTTTTTTAACCTAATTTTCTCATTACTCTGTCATATTAATTTTACAATTTTATTGATTTTTAGAATAAAAGGAAAGTATACGGAATATTTTAGAAGTATGCTTGATCGATCATAAGTGACATTTTACGGATATATCTTTTTATCTCGACGTATTTCGCAAGAATTTTTTGCATACATTTTCTCGCTTCTGACGTCATTAAAAAGTGAGAGACGATGCAAGTACACAAGAATCTTAAGAATTAAGGTAAAAGTACCAATTCCCGGACATATAATCCTGGACATTCTTACTATTTTAGTATTTAAATACGAATATTTAAACTTTCAACGTAGAATGTGTATATATATATATATATATATATGCTCAATAAAAATGTAAATAAGGATTAAGTGTATGTCCGGACATTTACCTTATTTTTACTTTACTTTTACCTTACGATCTGTAGCTATTTTTGAACGGTAAATATTCACTTGTTGCCACTGTGCGTCGGTGGCGCGCCCGCGCTCTTTCACAATTTCAGACGTCAGACGTCCGAGAATTTCGTCGCCTGCGAATTCTTTCGCAATCGCCAGGCCCCGAGTGGCGTTACGCGCGATCAGAATTTCATTTTCGCCGACTGCGTGGACAGATCTCTTTAGGAACTCGTGTAAGCGGCTCTCGGCGAATCGCGTTATCCCGTCCCGCCGTCGTCCATCCGCAAGACTCGCAATCGCCTCCACAAGTTCGGTGAGACGCTAATTAGCGAGCGGTCGGCGCGTCAGAGTGTGTTTGAAGAAAGCGACGCTCGGGTCGGTCGGTCAGTCGCGATAAATAGGAAGAAAGTCAAACGGTATAAAGCCCTCACCTCCCACCGTATCATTAGCGAAAGGAATTACGGCGACGAGATTATTACGACGAGGGCCCACGATCCCGACTATTCCCCAGGCGAGCGCATACTTCGCTTAATCATCGTCCGACTTTCGAGAACCGCCGGTTGGAAGCGGATGGAAGCGGCAGCTGTTGGCGCTTCGTAATTATTGCGGGTCGACGACGTCTCTGAGCGCGCTTCATCCGCACACGGCGCTCTCCCGGACGGATCGTCAGCAGTTGTCGACGAACGAGGCGGTGGATCCGCTCGCGATTTCCGCGTACTCCTGCCTGCCAGCCGAGCAGAGCTTACTGGAGAAATCCGTCTCCCGTTTCCTACACAAGCGGAAAAGATTACAAACGTGAAGCCTAATCTATAATGCGCTCTTTGCTTCCTGTTTCTTGTTCTCTATTTTGTTTTTTTTTAGCTTAAAGTTTAAGGTCTGGAGATCACAAGAAAAGATAAAGAGCATTATCGAGTTTATCCTTCTCTGTGCGACAATACGCAAGGAACGTTGCAAGATACGAACCGCCATTTTCTGACCATCGCGGACATATTGGTCGCTTACCCTCTGCCCGGTAGATCCATGACGTCCACGGAGACACTGTTGACGTAAAGGTGATCGTTGCACCAGAAGAAGCACAGAGAACGAGGTTGCAGCACGTCCATGTCGTACACCCAGGAGAGCTCGACTCGCCTGATCTTACCGATGTTGCCGATGGAACCGGTCGGATGGGCCACGACCATTCGTGCCGTCGAGCCGTGTTCCAGTCTCATGTAACCACTGCAAAGCAAAAGGAGTCTCAATCGCTCATATACTCAACTTCCGCAGAATTGAACAAGTCGGCAGGACGAAGTCGAGTTCGTCGCACGCGCCGAGCCTCGCCGATATCTCACAGCTGAGTTAACCCCGAGGGACTGTAGAATCGTTTTTTTTTTTTAATGAATTTAAACGCATGAATTTAAACGTGGCTGGCGATCAGACTCTCAGTGAATTTTTGAGACGTCGTTCGTTCACTTCTTACCATGATCGTGTACGTGTGATGTGCGTACGTACAATGCGATACGAGGCATGAAACGAGGTTTCATCTAGCAGGCGAGGCGCGTATGTGGGTTATCGAGGCCGATAAGTAGGCTTGAACTTACCTGGGCGTTAGATCCATGTTGCGTATCACGCCGTTGTCGGCGTGGAGAGTGACTTTCATGAAGCCCTGCACCCAGCTCTCCGCGGTCGGCGGACGGGCGAGGTTGATGGTGATCCTATAATGCCTTCCTGAAAGGTGTCATGATCGATATCAAAATCCTTTTCGAGGTCGCAAAGGGTGGGAGGGAGGGGAGAGAGAGAGAGCGACAGACAGACAGACAGAGAAACGATGCGTCGCTTTTATCACGCGAGCAAACGCGCGCGCGTGTGCGGAGAAAGTTGCGCCTCGATAGAGAAAAGTTGCGCTCGCGCTCGTAGTGAAACACAGCGACTCGCTGTGTTCTCGATAATTCTTTTTTTTATTTCCAGCCTTGATAACAAATAATTAGCGGGACGTCACGGCGAATTGATCGAGTCAATCGCCGATTGGCTGCGACGTTTAGTAGCGGCGGTCCTGCTTGCATGATATCGTAACGCCGACGTAAAAGTCGGCACAACGAGACATTGTAATGAGAAGCTAACTCGGTCGCGTTTGCGCTCACATTCGGAATGGTATTTACCGTTGAGAAAGTTAGCATTTACCGTGCTACACTTTAATTCCGAAACATCTTGATACGAAACTACCATCGCTAACGTGGCGTACATCCCGGCAGATTGCATACTCAGAATTGAAATAACATATCTACGCTAATGGGCAAGAAATAACACAGAATTCGAAACTAGACTCGTCCTTCTTAGCGTTCCTACACCAAACGAGTTTGGTTGCTTAGACCTTAGGTTCCAATTCTTATAGTAACTTTAACGGGACATTTCGTCGTTGATATTTCCAATTATGACGGGAGTTCGTCTCCGAGAGATTGTGTGTTAGTTGCGTTAATTAATCTTAATATTTTCCGTAAAACCACCGAAACCTTAGGGGAGACTGAGGCTATATGGTCCTACGAGTACGTTGCTCCTGTATTTTTTATCTTGAGAGGGACAGTAAAAGTAAAATCAATAAAATAGTTATTTTAGAACATAAATATTTCGCTTTGAGTTTCATTAAAATCAAAATAATATTATAGTTAAGAAATATAAAAAACTGACTTGATAATAGGAAAGTAAATTTTCGAGCCTTTCGAAATTTTGTATTAATATGCTCCATAGTGACTGAATAAAAATTAAGCGATGTGTTACTAGCTAGAATAAAATTTCTTGCAAGTATGATATACTGTTTCTGCTAATAAGTGCTATTTTCATTCATAAAATGACTGAAATAGAGCACATGGACGAATGAGGTAAAGTTGGCTCATAATTAAAGACTGGCAGAAGGGCTACAGAGATCTCTCGCGGACACTCTGGAATTATTAATTAATGTACATATTTTGTACACAGTCTTCTTTATTCCTTAATTAAACCCGGTACCAGAACTATGTTACTGCATATTTGTATTTTGGTTATTACGAAACAAAATATACGATTAATAGAGTTATGATGGGCGGTAATATATTGAAGTCATGACAGTTGCTTGAGAAGTTGACTTTGAAATTCTAAAATAAAGGACATCTAGCCCCGGCCTGCCCTGCTCAGGAAACTACAGAGTTCAGATTTTTACGAATTAGAAGAAGCGTCGAGACTCACTGCAGTATGGATCCTCCTTGCCGGTGATGAAGAAGAACTTGGACCCCAACAAGGACGAGACGTCCTGTCCCATCGCCTGGCGCTTCACCAGGGCCGGACTTGTGTCGGCGTGGTAACCCATGACGCCGCAGCTCAAGCTGTTGTTGCTCTTGCAGGAGAAGCATTCGCCCCGCAGGAAGCTGGCGTAGCTCGAGCACTCGTGTGCCACATACTGGCACTTGGAGTTGATGCTCTCGATGAAGAGCTTCAATGCACGCACATGATTGCAGGCGACCAGGACGCGCGACGCCTCCTCGAGACCCTCGCGTATCAGAGTCAGAGGTAACGACGGCGTGGTCTCGCTCAGGTCGGTGCATCCCGGTTGTTCCTTGCCGTTGTTCGGGTAGAAGTCCAAGTGGCCGCACGGCTGACTCATCCCGTAACCTGGAAGGCCTTGCCGTGACTACGTTAGTTCGGACAACATGATTCACGGAGGAGCCGCGGAGCTCTATTTTATTCACTCTACGCACTCCAAGAGCGCCTTTTCTCTTTTGCATCAATCTCTAGCTACTGGCAAGTGATGTCATTTCTGTTGAGAGGAAAATGGAGTTCCACTACTCTCCGTTATGTAACTCTTTTTCAGCTTCGATGTAGGAATTCGTCCGACGATAAATGGCAGCAATGTTAATTTGTTACCTAAAAAGAAGATGCTCTTGCCGTCAGTGTGTATTACATCCACCAGCCGGGCGTCCGTGTAGTCCAATCGAAGGTGACTCGGCATCCCTTGAAAGTAAGGTTCCGCGGGATCCAAACCGGTGATGCGGCCGATGTTGCCGCTCAATTTTTCGCCCGCGTAACCGGCCGTGTGCGCGCCAAGACTGTGGCCGATCAAGTGCACGTCGTTCGGTTCCAAGCCGTAATTAGTCTATTTCACGAAAGAAACGAACGAAACATATGAGGGAACGTGAAAATGACTCTGAAGTAACCTAATGTCATAGAAACACGAATGAATAACGATTTGATAAGAAGCAGTCGATCAAGCGTTCACCAATTGAATGAAGAATGATCACGCACGGTTGGTTCTTACTAGCCCGCCGTCTGTTCTCATTCCTCGAGACATATTGAAGTTTGTTTTAGTTTGACATACATTGTTTTCTCTTACTTGCAAATGTTTAATGAGATGAGCTAACTCCAGCCCGACCAATCTCGTGTTCGCCGTCGCTTGGGTATACAAAGGCAGACTTCCACCTGCCCAGTCGACCACGATAACATTGTAGTCGCCGTGTACCAACAGCTCGCTTCTCATCTCCTGCGGATCATGAATATTATATCAGGATATGTATGAGAGTACACGCGATCTCGGTTCTGTTTCGCTCGAGAGTTACCGAACTCGTCGAACGCAACCGAACGCTCGATTGTTCGCGAAAACAATGAACCGATAGGGAAATGAAATTGGTCTTTCTCTGCCGATTTATTCGACCTGATCAAGATGAGCACCGCATTGCTCGCGGCGCGAAAGCATAATAAAAGTGTATGGGGTCGAGCGAGTATTCAAATGAGGGAGCAGTTAAACCTACCTTCACCCAGTTGCTTAACGGCGTGTCAATAAAACCGTGTATGATAAATTTAGTTTTGCGCTTGGGATTGAAGTTCGAGTGCTCGATAGACTTATCCTTGGATACTTTCAACACTTGACCCTGAAAGCAACGACAGGCGCGAGTTAACGGCTATACATATTACACACATTATAGTTAATAGAGTCGATTGTCTAAAGGAACTCATGTGAAGTCATATGAACACATATGTCGTGCATATTTCAAAGCCAACTGTCAAGCCATTCTTATATAATTAGAAAATAAAATTTCTATTGGACACTCATCTTATATACGATGCAATAGAGAATTAATGTCTATTAGTAAAAATTATACTAACGAAATTAAGAAAACGACTTTACAAATATAATTAAAAATATAATCTAAAAGCTTGCAAATCGAAAAGTTTCAAAAGGCAACTTTTGTATAATTAGAGATTTTTGTATAATTAGAAAATAAAAATTTAATTAAACGCTCGCCTCATACGAGAGCAATGGAGAGTATATTAAAGTCTATTAGCAAAAATTATATTAACGAAATTAAGAAAACGACTTTTTACAGTATAATTTAAAATATAATCTAAAAGCTTGCAAATGTACAATCAAAAAGTTTCAATGGCAACTTTTGTATGATTAAAAAATAAAATTTCAATTAAACGCTAGCCTTGGACGAGGACAATGGAGGAGTTGTTAAGAGTTGGCTCTTCGGCCAGATGCATATCGTCATTGACCTCGCGAGAGACAATGCGAATCCTCCGCGATATCACACAATCGCGTTTATATTCTTAAACTTCATTGGCGCGTGCAAGTCACGTGCAAAAATGTCGACGTTCATTTCACGATCGAGCGGCTCCACGCGATATTATGCGACAGAGACACGTGGTGGTTTCACCGCGTGGTTATGCCGCCGATATCGTATCCGATACTTCTCTCCTCGGGTTTCCTTCCAAGTTAGAAGCCGTTAGATTATAAATCAACCGATCTTATCTTGGAACGCCGCGAAACTCGCGCCCGCGAGCTCGCGCGCCTTCGCCGGCCGCGAAACGCGGTTTTGTTTAATTAATCGGGTCAATTAAGATATCCATGAGCATTAAGTACCGGCTGTTGAAACCAGAGTCGCGATCGCGGAGTGCGATACGGCAAGCTTATCGTTCACTGCCGCCTCGACTACGCCTCTGTTTAATTACTTCTGTCGCGAGATGAAATCCGTTAGCTCTGCGGCGTTAGCGCACAATTCCTACAGATGTGCGCGATTACGTACGCGGAAATATTTACGTCGTGTCGAATATTAGCCGAGAAATCTCTCTCTCTCTCTCTCTCTCTCTCTCTCTCTCTCTCTCTCTCTCTCCTATGAGGTCGTAGAGGTATTTCAGTCTGTTCCTTTTGAAGTCTCACTTTCGCGCGCTGCTAGGCGTGCGCGCAGCGTTTCTGACATGTGTGCTTTGTGTTTGCACGAACATATTGATCGATCAGATGATTCACTCACTTCAATAGGGTTCTGATTCGTGTAGAGGATGAATCTGGTATTGATGACCTCCCGCGGCAATGGGAAAACGTTGAGCGGCCTGTGAATGAGGTGGTACCAGTTTCTGGTGATGTTCAGGCAGCCCAGCTCGTCGTAGCAGCGCGTCTCGTTCTCAACTAAAAAGTGTCATCGAGTTGTCGTCAAGTCGATCTTGGAAAAATTAAGTGTACACCCAGAAGATATAATCTCACCCTTAACAGAATTCTTATATGTCAAGAGGATTCTTTTAAGACCAAGAAAGAAATATCCCAACACTCAAAAAAGAAAAGAGTTACAATGTGTTGTTTCCTGTAATCTCTTTATTTTAGACGACAACTTTTGCCGAAAAAGTATCTTTCTTCTAATAAAGAAGATGTAATATTACATTTAGAATATTTTTCTTTTGATTTTCGAAGAATCCTCTCGAAGCCATACAAAGACATTTCAAATATAAATAGACATCATAATTTTTGTCGACATTTTTGTCATTTATTTGTGTCAACTTGATAAAGTGAACTAAATGATCAAGAAAAGTGTGATGTCTATTTACTTTTGAGATGTCTCTGTGTATAAAAGAGTTCTGCTAAGAACGAGATTATATACGTATATTGTTATTGTATAGGATACGTGTGTAGGATACGTTTATAAGAATGACGAAAATTGTGACGTATATTTATTGGTCGCCGCGGAAGAGCGTTTAGTCGTCGCGACTAAATATTTTCCGCAATGCGCAAAGGAGAGCGTGACGATAATTACAAGGCAGCCAAGGTATGTTGACTTCGATCCGATCGCTGCGCGCCCATTGCCAAGGGTCCAGGATTCCGGCGGAGCAGATAACAGGAGTCAATGCGATGAGGAGCAGGAGCAGCGCTCCTTCGCCGTCGCCGGCTCCTCGTCCGTTCATGCCGCTGCTCCTCGTCCTGCGGAAGTGAGATTTTGATCAGAAGGAGAGATCGAAAATTATCGTATCGCTATTTTGCACGGTTTGCAACGATTAAAGCTGCTCGCGTCGGTTTTTATCGCATCGTTGAATCTGTTTTACCTGCTGTTTTCGTTGCAAATTTTGTTCGCTTCCTTTCTCCGTAAATATTATCTACCTGCGCGAGACAAGATTGTTACGATGGCGTGTGAGTCGCACGCTGTAATTAACGTATCGTGATACACTGAGGTATTGCATCATTGAAAGCACGATGAAATCGACGAGCGAGTATTAACGATTTATCGTGCTCTGACAAAAACAACAGTTGGGTCGACAAAATCTGTGGTCACCCACCTTCAATGTTGTATATATTAAACCAGTTACGCGTTAGTGTAACAATATGTTGCGTTAGTGTAACAATATGTTGCGACAATTAGGGGAAATCCGAACTGGATGCTTCATATTTTAGAATTTTGAAGTTACAACTTCTCAGACAGGTAATCGTTGTGACTGTATAAATATGATAGAGGCAACTTTCTATGTATTAATGCCGATGCCGATGCCGTCGTTAACCATTATTTTGTTTTATAATGCGAACATGCAGCAAAAGAGCCATCTTGCTCTGAGCAAGTTGCTCGCAGGGAAAATTTTAATTCATTTTATGAATAAAAAATGAATAAAATTGCATTTATTAGCAGAAACAGTATATTATACACTTGCAAGAAATTTCATTCTAGCTAGTAACACATCGCTTAATTTGTGTCACGATGGAGAACATTAATAGAAAATTTCGAGTGGCTCTAAAATTTACTTTGCTATTACTAAATCAGTTTTTTCTACTTCTTAATTGTAATATTATTCTGATTTTAATAAAACTTAGGGAAAAATATTATGTTCTAAAAGGATCATTTCGCGATTTTGTACTCACTATTTTTCTCAAGATGAATACTATAAAAAACATATGAGTAACATATTCCAGGGACCATGTAGCCCCGGTTTGTTCTACTGACTAAATCGCAACTATTGAATCAATTGATTAACTCATCGCGGCAACATATAATGCGTTCAATTGACTAAACGTTTGCTTGAACGAATTTTCAAGCAAAGTCTCATTCAAGCAAAGTCTTATTTAACCACTTTTTTTATGTGTGCGTGGTAAGCGAACGCTGCGCGAAGATTCGGAGGATTGCTAAATGAAATTTAAAAGGTGTCATCGGAATTTGAAATATGACTACTCTCTCTTAAAGAATTATGGTCAAGGTTTTACAATCAACTCAATCTTTGAGTGTTTGAGAACGTCAACGACACGTCTCGTTGTGCACGCCTTGGAAAGTCACTGTACATGGAATGAACGTTTCTTTTAATTTAAATTATGCGGCATTTCCAAGGAACAGATACGTTCGATATGTTCGATGGGTAAATTGGGCTTTTAACGACGGAGCGATTTAACGAACACGTTCGCCGCGTTACGTAAATTTTTGGTCGGAGACAGGCAACAGCGAGTCGAAATCCATCTTCGCGGAAAATTCCGTTGTTACTTGAAATCGCGGGAAATCACGGGACATTGACATTATTTTCAATGTCCTTCAGTTGCGACATCGAATATAATTTTATGCAACTTCCGGCTTTTTAACGATATTCTTACCTCGAAGCAACATCAAGCGATATAAGAAATATTAGTGTTTATCGTATGGATATTTTTTTCGCGAGTGACGTCCGCGAGCTTTTGTTCACTCAAATCGACGTTGTTGTAATCGCACGATACATGTAACCTGCATTATGCAGCTTGCATTATTCGCGCCACGAATCGTGTGTGGTTTGTAATGACATGCCGGGGCGATCGTGATGGTAGAATGAGGAACAGGAAGACGAACCTGCACGTAAACGCGGTTGGACATGCCGATGACATAACCGACGTTTGTGATATCTGAGTGCCGTTAGTTCTTTTACGGTAACGAGACATTGAGATGACTAATCGATCTTGTCTCGATATCGTCGAAGTTGCGAGGACAAAATGAACGATCAAACCAATTATTGCATTGTATTCTCTAAATTTTTTGGAGCGATATTTCACTCGAAAAATAGAGTGATATCGGGTCTTCATCAGTTTTGAATGAAAGATTCTACTCCAAGAAATTCAAAGGGTACTTTACGCATTGCAGTCGATTCGACGCATCTTTATGAATCCGCTGAATGCTTCTCGCGATTCATTCGTTAGAGTTGATCATCGATCGTTGGGAAAATAGTTTTTTCGACTACTCCAGCCATCGTTAACTTACGTAATGAGTTGCGATAAAGTTGTGTCTCGTGCGCGAGTGTATCGTGTCTCCTTGATCCTAGACAGTGTCACGTGCGTGGCTCACTTACGTGAGGGAGGCGCGGTTCACGTGGCAAAGACACATTGGTGGCTAACAGGTAGAAGAGTACCCTCGTGAGCGTTATCTCGCCACTGGGTGTTCCTCGATAGTCGGTGCTTTCACCGGTCGCTAGGCCGTCGCTTCGGTCACCTCGGTAAATGTACCTCGAAAACGTACGCGACACTTTGTGTCAACCGGTCGGCCATTTAAAGCGCGCTGCTCTCTGGTAAACAGGCGGGTCGCATTAAAATCCTGTCGCTTCGGGATCCGGCATGATGGCGGCGCCGGCGACGGCGGCATACGAGCCGAGAAAGCGTGGTATTATTTATTCTACGAGCCGCGGCAAAATCGCTCTCGATAGTCGTAAATAAAACGATCCACGTGACGGCGCGGGAGATTAGCGTTCATCTTCGATGAATTGGCTCGTGCAAATGCTGGTCTTAAGAATTTTTAATTTCACGTGATGATGACCTTTCCGCAACCTAGAAACTTGTTGCGGCATAATCGTAAAAATATTGATACGCCGTAAGTGTGCAGAAGAAAAAGGAGATTCGAGACCTCCATCGACATCTCTTTAAATTTCTTGCAGCGAAATTTCATTCGAAAGTAGAGTGACCACCACTGAGTCACTCGAATTTGATTTTTCGCTTGTATAGAGTCGACTCTCCACTCTGAGACCCGTATTAATAGTCATCACTTGAAACTCGTCTCAAGTGGGATACTTCAGATTTAAATTCAGAGTTAGATGAGAGTTTTTCAATTGAATCGCGACTATAAATGTCACCATTTATCATGATTCAGCTGTAAGACTTGGGTCTGACTCTGAGTAAAAATCTGAGTATTTCATCTGAGATAAGTAACGATTATTAATGCAGATCTGAATCATTCAGTGAATATTTTTAACAGACAAACATTGTAGAGTGAATCTGATGTATTTCATTGTTATATTTTACTTCAATCAAATGAAATGTTCGCTCATGTAGAGTTAAAACCTACTTTAAAGCTTGTATTAATAGTCGTTACTTGAAAATTACCTCATGTGTAAGATACTTAGGCCAGTATTAATAGCCGTCACTTGAAACTCCTCTCAAGTGAGATACTCAGATTTCAGTTCAGAGTCAGATGAAAGTTTCTCAGTTGAATCGCGATTACATATATATAGCGTCACATACATTATATAATTCAATCGAAAAATTTGGATCTGATTCTGAAGACAAATCTGAATACCTCATATGACAAGTTTAAAAAAAAAAGTGACAACCATTAATACGTCACATACATTATATAATTCAATCGAAAAATTTGGATCTGATTCTGAAGACAAATCTGAATACCTCATATGACAAGTTTAAAAAAAAAAGTGACAACCATTAATACGTCCTACGTTAGATTTGAAAATTTAGAGTTAGATGTGAATTTTTTAACTGAATTGCGACTTTTAATATATAATATCACGTATGATTCAATTGGAAAGCTTAAATCCGACTCTAAATTTAGACCTGAATATCTCATGTGAGACACGTTTCAAGTATTAACACGGGCATAAGTGAAACGTTCGCTTTTACTACTTCAAGTGGCAGTATTTTCACGATCGCTTTGAGTGAAAATGTTGCCGCTTTTCACTCGTTTGAGTGGGATTTCACTCTAGGAAATTTTGAGGGAATACTCCTCTGCTTACAAAGTTGCCGTAAGACCCGCGAGCGTGAGATACGGGCTTCCGGAATGGCAGCGTGAAAAAAATGAGTCTTTTCAATTAATCAGTTTCGCGGTCTCGCACGGGACACGCGTGTCCCGGGGCGGTGCCCGCGGCGAGACGAAATGCAAGGAGAAGAGCGAGGATAATTCGAAACCCGTTGCCGAACGAATACGGCCGCGTGGAATGTCGCACGCTATTTTCTGCATTCCTCACGAGCAGCTGCGAGAGTGCACCTTCGCGACGAGCACGACGAGGCCTTTCCCATGATCACACCGGGATAGGGCCGGTCTCTCAATGAGTCACGTGTAAGCGTGAACGCACGTGAAGCAGCTCGCTTGAACATCGGTATTATCCACTTTTGCCGTGATTGCCGTGACTCCAAAACGCACGTACGCGCTTATGTACTTATGTCGCGTGTGTCATTTTCAAGTCGCTCGCCCGCGCTCGTTCGGGCCGCTCGATTAACCAGCTTTCGGCCTTCCTGTTTTTGCACGACCGCTTTCCCCTACTTTTGTAATGAGTATCCTAGAGGCAGACTCGAATAACGGATTTGTCGCGATTATCTGCCAAGTCCTTCATACCAAACGCTTCCACTGACGTTGATAAGATAATTTCGACGAGTATTATGTTATGAATTTTTTGTCGTGTCCCAATTATTTCCTTCTCTCTCTCTCTCTTTCTCTCTCTTTTTCTTTCTTTCTTTTCCTCAGGCGGTCACGAAACTGTTCATTTTCTCGCGGTTGGTGGTGATTCAAGTGTCAATCATTCAGGGTAGCGTAGTCAAGCCCGAGGCGCGATACCGATACTCGATCGAGTCGATCCGCAGTTTTGAAAATAGCGAGCACACGTATCGCCTCGTGGAGGCTGCTCGTGGCTCTCGGGAGCGAGATGAACCGCGAAATGGAACCGGTCACTCTCTTTCCTCCTCCCTTTCTACAGATACGAAACCCGCATTTCACCGTTGGCGCGCGTTTGGGGTATTAAATAATTATTATTTCGAAAGCGAGAGTATATGTGTGTAACCGCGCGCGCGCGGCGCTAGCCGCACGAGAGAAGGAGAGGAGGCACAACATCGGCCGCTGTAATTGTGGCCCAGATTCGGCGTCCTTCCCTGCGGCAATGCTGTACCACTTCCTGTATATCCCTCGCTCTCCCTCCCGCCTCCTCTCTTTCTCTTTTTCTCTCCCTCTCTGCCTCTCTCTCCCTGTCCCTCTGTCTCTCTCTATCTTCTTTTCCGTTACTCCGCGCCTTTATATATCGACAAGGTGAAACGGGACGCGTGTTTTTTACGTATCTCTCTCTTCCTTTGGGCCTGATCGATTTGCGTAGACACGCGTGCGTCATGCTTTCCTCTCTAAAGTACAATCAATGTATCCTTCACCGAAATGTGCTATACTTATAACCAATGGTTCGCAGTTAGAATTACAGCACTGCAATCAATCTCGTTGAAGGAATCAGTTGATAGTTTTTTTATTGATGCGGTTTGCGAACACAGACAGTGCGAAATCGCATGGAAGCTGAAATGGAAAAGAATGACAGACGCAGAAAATTGGATTTGAGGCAGCGTTTAACCAATTCGTATAGTGTATAGATTTTGCAGTGAAATCTCATTTCTCCTCTAGTCGAAGTCAGGAAGATATAAGAATATGAATATTCACTGACTATCGCTGAAATGCTCCTCTTACTGATTTTATCAGAAGCATTTTTACTGAGAGATTCACTTCAAGAGATTATAACAGTGTATAACGAAGTTGCGTACAGATGTTGCAGTGAAATCTCACTTCCACTGGTCAAAATCAGTGAGATATAAGACAAAGCAGTAAAGTTGAGTGAATGTTCCCATTGAAAATTACTGAATATTCGTGGATTATTGCTGAAATGCTTTTCTTACTGATTTAATCAAAGACTTCTTTATTGAGCCACTCTAATAAAGTTGTTTCCTTTTATTTCAACAATCTCCCCGGATCTTTAATGGATACTTTGAGGAAACGCGGAGAGACTTTGTGCATTCCCCATTTTATCGTCAAGTGTTGATCGCCTCCGCGTTTTCTACCAAGTCCTATTTGGTAATTCGCTGCCTTACAGTTGGATCATAAATAACAATGGTTGCAATTCGCCGCGCACAGAAGTTTCATCGCGATAAATACACTGTTTCATAAACGACAGAGTTTCGAATCGGGTTAAGGTAAATGCCCCAATAATTGAGCAATGTATCAACAATTGAAATATCAATAATATATTCGTATTTGATACTTAAAAAAAAGAAGGAGCTTTGAACATTTTGTTAAAAGAGATATTTTTTCATGCCAATTTGTAATATTATTTAATGAGCATTTAATATTATTGAGCCTATATTATTCAATGATTAAAACATTAATATCATTAATCAATATTATTGAGCCTATATTATTCAATGATTAAAACATGGTTCATTTTTCAGTTTACTGATACAAGCGATATTCAGTCATCCAATATGGCCGCGATGATTGATCAGGAGTCTTAATTATGGGCCAATTTTATCTTTTCCGCCCATATCTCAAAACGGCGCTTCTCCCGGCGTTTGTATCGGTGCGAAGGGAGATACAAACGGACACAAACGATATTCTTACAAATGGCTTTGAGATGTCTCGAAAAATAATCAAGTTATCTCTTATTGTTGTGTTAACAGTACTTAATTAAGATTGGTCTCATGTGAGATACTCAGACCCAATTTGTTATATCAGAGTTTTTCATTTGAATCATACAATATTCTTGAAGTTACGTTTGTATTTGCAATTAAACTGAAAAACTCACATCTTATTATACTCTTGGAATCATTGATATACAAACAATTTGAGTAGAGATGCAAACAGACACAATGTTCTTATAAATATTTGACCGTTTTAAGGTATGCTCTATTTCAATTATTTTATGAATCAAAATTGCATTTATCACAAAGAAACAATATATCATATACTTGAAATTTCATTCCAGCTAATAACACATCGATTCATTTCATTCAGTCATAATGGAGGATATTAATAGAAAAATCTCGAGAGATTAAAAAATGTATTTTGCTATTGCCAAATCAGTTTTTTCTGTTTCTATTTCTTAACTTTAATATTATTCCGATTTTAATGAAACTCTGGACGAAGTATTTATGTTTTAAAAGGACCATTTCACCATTTTGTATCCACTGTTCCTCTCCAGATAAATACTAAAAAACGGCAACATACCCCAGGGACCATGTAGCTTCAGTCTCTTCTAACTCGCGTGCCGCTGTTTCGCGTCTCCGACGAATTCTATCTTCGTTCTCGTCCACTTCGCCTCGTGATCGTCGTCGGCGCGGTGCTCCACCGGTTTTCCTCTCGTGTGCGAACGGGTACGCGATCGCGGTGTGTCGTTGCGCCGCTGCCGTGACTAATTGTACAGGAAGTGTGTTCCGCCGGGTCGCGGAAACGCGGCATTTTTCAATACACGCCTGTCCCCGCGCTCTCTCGAGCTGCATTTTCGCGACTGGTCGCGGTGCCACGCGGATTTATCGATTTATCTGTCAAGATCACGAGAAAGCGTGGCGTGCACGAGCGTGCGCGAGCTCTTGAACCTGAAAGATCGATCGCGCGGACGTTTTACCGCTGCTCTACCCGAAGCTGTACCGTATGTTTCTGATCGAGCTCATGGCTCGATCCCCGGCGCTGTTAGCAGTTTCTCAAGCGTTCTCCAAAGATCGGATTTTGCTTCAAACGATTTTACTGCTTCTCAGAAGCAAGGAAGATCGAGTTTGCGGAGAGAACGCTCCTGTTTAGAAAACAGCTGTATTCATCACATTACGGCATCGTCGTTCCAAAAGTCATCGACGAATAATCCGCAGCCTTAATTAGTTTCCGAGTTCCGAATCGGGTTAGACGTTCTCGATAGAGGACGCGACGTATTGCAATGATTTGCATATCGACGTGATTTCTTGTTCGCTCATTGTGAAATTCGCTGAAGGACGCAGAGAGGTCCGAAGGTTGTCTTTTCAGCTGTGCGAAAAAGATGAAGAGAGCGCAGAGTGCCGGCGTTATCGTCAGTGACCTAATCCAATCTCTTAGTCGCGAGAGAGAAATTCCAGCGATCTTTTGCTTACCGTGTGCGACGTAATCGCGCCTTTCTCTCTCTCTTTCTCTTTCTCTCTTTCTCTCTCTGCCCTTCTTTCTCTCTCTCTCTCTCTCTCTTTCCCGCCTTTCTCTCTTTCTCACCGGTCGTGTTTTCATGCGCTGCGCGTTGCGCAACACGCGCAGCCACAAATTTGCCCCGGCATAAATTTCACCGGCTCCACTCGGCTTAATTCGACTCAACGCGCCGTCTCTCGCCTCATCTCGCATCGTCGTGTCACGTCGCCACGACGATAATTAAAAAAAGGAAAAATGAGAACTCCTCATGCGCACAATTAACGTGCAATTCGACGAACAATAGCCGTCGTAGTCCTTGGCGATTGACGACCGGGAGCGAGGATCTTCCCGTATTTCTTATACAAGCAATAAAAACTCGATGCAATTAACGAAACGACCACGAGGAAATCGATACGTCGAGGAAACATCCGGTCTCTCCAAGGGAACGCCGACGGCGACGGCGGCGGCCTCGGCGAAGACGCAATAATGTCTTCTCCGTCCGCACTGACGGGCGATAAAACGAACTCGATTGTTTCGCGCTACAGCTGTTCATTAGCGCGGCCGCGCTGTTCATTACGGCGCGATGGCGATCGTAAGAGTCGCTTAATTGCATCCACGTCGATGCGCGTCGGAAACCGCAACCTGTGGCGTACACGTGCAGCGCCGGAATTGAGTTTTACGCGCGCGTAAATTTCTCCCGGCTTGTATCGGCGCGAAGGGAGATACAAACGTCTATATTATTCAATGTATCACGAATCTATATTATTCAATGATGAAAACATGGTTTATTTTTCAGTTCATTGATACAAACGATATTCAGTCATCCAATATGGCCGCGATGATTGATCAGGAGTCTTAATTATGGGCCAATTTTATCTTTTCCGCCTCAAAACGGCGTTTTTCCCGGCGTTTATATCGGCGCAAAGGGAGGTACAAACGGATACAGACGATGTTCTTACGAATGACTTTGAGATGTCTCGAAAAATAACCAAGTTAGGCCTGTGTTAACAATACTTAATTAAGATTGGTTTCATATAAGATACTCAGACCCGATTTGTTATATCAGAGTTTTTCACTTGAATCATACGATATTCTTGACCTTATGTTTGTACTTGCAATTAAACTGAAAAACTCACATTCTAATTCAATTCTAATTCAAAATTGAGTGTCTTACGTGAGTAAGTTTCAAGCGACCATTATCAATACAGGCCTTAGACATATTTTGAAAATATTATACTCTCGGAATCATTGAGGATACAAACAATTTGAGTAGAGATGCAAACAGACGATGTTTTTGCAAATGTTTGGCCGTTTTGAGATATCTCAAAAAATGACAAAGTTTCCTCTTAGACATAGACATATCTTAAATTGTTTTACGATATCCTCATCAGCTGTTGTTTGTTAGCTATCTTAACTCCCCATAACTTTGTACCTCTTGAGATAAGAAACGGATGGAGATGCACAATCTGGGGAAATAGAACATTTTATAACCCTAGATTCAAACGAATTTTTTAATATGTCTGCATCACTTGATTATTATTCATTGCATCATTTGTTGAATATTTGTAATTAACAGTCGTAACGTACAAATATGCACATACATTGTAGACAATAATATGGCGCTGAATCACGTCTCAATTAATCACTCAGATAGTTTTCTTCAGGACCGATTGTTCCAACTTCTTGGTAAGCTGCTTGACAGTTAAATTATATGTCTATCTTCACTTTTTCTTCAAATTGGACAGAAACACGATTTAACTGTCAGATAACTTACCAAGAAGTTGAAACAATCGGCCCTCAGTGTCGCTTCTCTATTACACCTAGAACTCCACTGTTCCCCAGCTCCGGAGCGGAAGGCGAAGCAATCGCTCCCGCACTCGGAAGCGCGCGCATTGCGTTGCCGTTACTCTTTGGCGGATCTAATTGTGCCGCTTCCCCGCGGCGATTTGCGCTTAATTGCCGTGGCGATTAGGTGGCTACCCCGTTTCCCTCCTCGTGGTGCTGGCGAAATTATCTTATCTCGTAACACCTCGGCGAATTCGTTCGCGCTCGTACGAGGAAATCGCGCGCGGATATATACGCTTTTATATTTCGTCGACATCGATAACTGAACATCGTTCTTATCGAGCCCGCGAGGTGATATCGGCGAGATTACAGCGTTTCCGCACCGCGAGTCGTTCAACCCGGAATAACGAATCCTTTCCTTATGCGCTCGCCGATCGTTCTCTTGCACACCACTAACGGCACAATTGCATATCGTGACAAAAGTATATCTTGTCCAGATACACAACAGTTGACTTGGTCGAGATAACACATGCTCGAGATAATCTCGACTTGTGTAGTGTGGTGTCTCGCGTTTTATATATGGTCATACTGTGACATTCGAGAGTTAACTATCTCATGTTTGTGTGTTTTAAAGTATATTAAAACATATTTGTTATTTTAAAATATATTTATTATAACAGAAGAAATTCCTTCTGTTGCACTCTCCGCAAGTGAATTTCATCTTCCTTGTGAGTTTTCTGTTTTAATTCCCAGAAATAGGTTCTTTTTCTTGTTATTTGCTGATTACTTGATCTCAGAGCCTTTATAATTATTATTCTTGGTATCTATTTCGTTAACCTTTTTTTTTCGTAAAATGACGGAAGTGTTTATCAACGAGGTGCGAGAGTAATTCTAATACCTGTGTTATCAGAGAAACACGAAAGAAAGAATTCGGTTGGATTAACCAAATATTTGGCGGAATATATGAATGCACTTGAATTTCGGTTGAAATTACTAGAATTCTGTTCAAGCGAATAAGAATTCTAATTGACCAGAAACCTTTGGTTTGGTTTGGTTTAACCAGAATTTTTATTAAATTGAACAGAAATCTGGCACATAATAAAATTTAGTTCATCCAACCAAATTTTTTGTCTCTACATAAAACACAAAAAAATATCATATTTTACATGCCTGATTATTTTTGAAAGGCTAGGACTCAATATTACTTTCCACGTTCGCTATTTATGTTCCGTAAGATATTATATTGATTCAATTAAAAAAGTAATCAATGTCTCTCTTACCTAAAAAAAAGAGATAAATGCAGAGTTTTAATTATTTCTCAAGCGTCATGATGCCCGAACATTAACGCAAATTGCGGTAATTATTTGCAAGTAATTATTTGATAGCGAGATATTAATTACCATCCGAATACACTAAAAGGATGATGAGGACGAAACTTTTATGTATTATTACTGCGGAGAGGAAACCTCTCCTTTCTTTCTCTCTCTCTCCCTCTTTCTCTTTCTCTCTCTCTCTTCATTTCCTCTCTTGTTTTCTTTCACGCGTACGTGTGCACGCGTCAGTATGAGTGACACCTCGCGTCGTACACTCACCGTCTCACAATTGATAGCTTTCCAACGATCGGCCTTTACACTGACCTACATACTCGGCATAACAGTACTCGACTCGGGCGTACTCGCGGATTCAAACGACTGCCTGCACGTACTCTCGTCGAAGCCGTCGCAATCGCGCGTGCGCAGGCCGAGAGCGCGGAGTGTTTACGTGACTTCGTGGCGTCACTCCGCGGGGCGAGATGCAACGAGTGCACTTGCGCGGCGTGAAGTTCGAGCTTCGTATGTCCAGCAGCGTTTGCACAAGCGGAGTCACAACACACATCATGGAGACGCCGTTATATACAAACACGCGTATAGCTCTCCGTTGCGAGATCGCGCCACGCGATGAAAATTCACCACGGGAGAAATTGTCCTCTCGACGATGCTCGGCGACGCGCTTAAAGAAAACATTTTTAGCAGCGCGCCGTGCCTTGAAGTCAAATTAGAAAGCGCAAATTGCTAATTAAGCGTTAAGTTAACATCCACAGAGAGACGTCGGGGTCGGGGCCGTCGCTTCAGTTAGAGACAACCTCGGTGTCTACGCTCGCGACAATGTTGACTCGAGCTTCCAGTTTCACGTCAGGAATTCGCTCGCATTATACGCGCTCTAATTAGATAATTGTCGCGTTTCCTTGTTACGCGCGCAACAGAAGAAGCGGACATCTCGTTGCTAGTGCCATTTACCGGGTACGAACGCGCTCAACGGTAAAGGCTGCCGCTTTTTGCGTCTCCTCGCAGGCGTGTTTTTCGTCGTTCGAGCGTAATTGGACAATTCTCAGGGCGGTTCCAGGCTTTCTCGTCGACGCGCGACACTCGCACCAGCGCGAATTCCTCCGGTACCTGAGGAATTTCGCGAAAGGCAGCCGACACACGTAGATTCGACCAGCGGAATTTTATTTTTTACGGAAAATAAAAAGAATAATCAACGAGAGTCGAGAGATGTAAATCGCTTAACCTATAAATGAAGTAGAGGGAAAAAATTCCTTCCTTTCTCTCCTCAGTGGAAATATTGCGTAAAAGACGATGCACAAAAATTATTTAATGATCAAAGACTTATATTATTGACTACTCATGTGGAACGCCAAAAACTGCGAAGACAATCTAAATCTTAAGATTGGCATGAGAC